GGCTAGTGAAGGGGGGGCTGCATCACAGCTGTGGGGCCGGGGCAGCGTGTAGGGGAGCCTGTCCCTGCATGGCTCCACGTCTCAGCATCCAGTTCCTCGGGGTCCCCTGGGTTATTTCAGCGCCTTCCCCCCCACCCCAGGAGCAGGTCGAGCAGCCCCATCCCAGAGGGTCTCGGCACTGGGTGGATGGGGCTGGATCCTGCCACAGGTTGGGGTGCATGACCGCGGGGCTGGGCTCTCCCCAGGAGAGACCGAAAAGCGCCGTGTTCGCCAACGAGACGAAGGTGAAGATGAGTGTGGAGGAGCAGATCGACCGCATGAAACGCCACCAGAGCGGCTCGATGAAGGAGAAGCGGCGCAGCCTGCAGCTCCCTGGCAGCCAGCAGCCCGAGACCCCCGGCACCAAGGCACCCACCTCCTACAAAGTGGTGAGTCCCTGCGCCCACCACGGCACGGGGGCAAACTGGCCTTTGCTTTGCAACGTGCCTGAGGTCTCTGACAGAGCAGAGACGGGGCTGGGGGGGTGTGGGGCTGGGGCAGGGGACATGTGTCACCCCAGGGGTGCTCAGCGGGGCTGGGGTCCCTCGCAGGTGCGCCGGCACCGCAGCATCCATGAGGTGGACATCTCCGACCTGGAAGCAGCGCTGCGCTCCGATGACCCTGGCAAGGTCTACGAGACGCCGCAGGAGGAGATCGCCCGCCTGCGCAAGATGGAGCTGGAGCCGCAGCACTACGACGTGGACATCAGCAAGGAGGTGAGGAGGGGCTGTCCTGGGGGTTCCTCCGCATCCTGCGCTGGGGGGGTCCATCCCTCCTCCTGTGTCGCAGGGTCCTGGAGCCACTGGCCGTGCCCAGGCGGGTGCTGGGAGCTGGGGAGGGGGGTGGGTGCTGTGGGGGCGCTGTGCTCAGCTCAGCCCTTGCCGCTGTGCCCAGCTCTCCACGCCGGACAAAGTCCTCATCCCCGAGCGGTACGTCGAACTGGAGCCCGATACGCCGCTCAGCCCCGAGGAGATGAAGGAGAAGCAGAAGAAGGTGGAGAGAATCAAAACCCTCATTGCCAAATCCAGGTGAGGCTGCTGTGCCCACGCCAGCCATCCCGGGGGGCACCCTCCCACCCACCGGCACCCCTTCCCTACCCATCCCCGGTGTCTGTCCCGTTGAGGCCAGACATGGGTGCTGATCCCGGGTGCTCTGTGCAGCCTGCAGAATGTCATCCCCCTGGGCGAGGGGGAGGTGGACACCCCCCAAGACCCTGAGACCCAGCTGCAGGAGCAGGAGAAGAGGATAGAGATCTCGTGCGCTCTGGCTGCCGAGGCCTCCCGCCGCGGCCGCATGCTCTCGGGTAAGGCACGGGGTGGGGGGGGGATGAGGGGTCGGAGCCTGCCAGCCCCGCCGGAGAGGGTGAGGGCAGGGCAGACTGGGCAGCAGGATGCAGGGTGGACAGGCAGTGAAAGCAGAGAGACGATACGGGCAGGAGGAGCCGTCCTGGGGCAGGGCTGTGCCAGCCCGGTGATGCCGGCAGCTGCCCGCACCCTGCCCGCCGTGCCTGGGGGCTGCCTTCCCCCTCCACCGCAGCACTGAGCATCGTGGGCCGGAGCAGCCGCTTGGGCCGGGCCCAGGTTTCAGCGCCCGGTCGGAAGCGTTGGCGAGGCCACGCGGTGGCCGTGCCTTGTCCATGAGGAGCCCAGCAGGGAGCTCACGTGTGCGCGCCACGGCCGGGCCGTGGCTGTGTGTCCTGACTGCGCTTGCTTCCTCCCTTCCTTCCTCTCCGTTTCCTCCCCACCGCTAACCGCTCGCTGGGCCGCCTCCTTCCCCTCGCCGCTGCCGGCAGCTTTGTGTTCTTCACGCCCTTCTCCCATTTCTTGTTTCCAGCTCAATGCGCTACCCCAAGCCCTCCCACCTCCCCAGCCTCCCCGACTCCACCGACCAACCCCCTCTCGTCTGAAACATCCCGGGTCGCCGACAACAGCCATTTTATGCGTGTCTGAGCCATGAAGTAAGCACCTCTTCTCTCCTACTTCATCCCATCCTCTCTCCATCCCGGGAGGCCGGGTGGGGGGGGTGCCTTTTCTGTGCCCGGCATCCGTCCATCGCTGCTTGCTCCAGCTAACGTCTCCTGAGCCACGTCAGCCCCATCTCCTCCCATGGACCAAGCGCAAGTGTCCTCCGAAACTCCCCAGGCTGGGTCAGCCAGAGACCCCAGCATGGGCAGGGGGGGCTCAGCAGGGAGGAAAAGGTGGTGGGTGGTCTCAGGGCCAGGCTCTGGGGGATGCCTGCCCTGGTATGGCTGCAATGGTGGCTGCAAAGTTGGGGGACTCTGTGTCCCCCTGCTCGGTTGGAGGTTCCCCCCATGGAGCCGGGGGCATAGAGCTGAATCTCTGCTAGGTTTTCCTCCAAGGTGGGCAGGATGGGTCTGTGGGGTGGGCACGGGGGCCGCTCCATGGCTGGCTGCCCCACACATAGCTCAGCCCTGCTCTCCTCTCCCTCCAGCTCAAGCCCTGGCTGCTGCCGGCACCATCAAGTTCCACGGGGCCACGTTTTAGCTCCCGGACATGACACCGAACTTCTCGCCATCATTTTCGGTTCTCCTGGACCCCCCCTTCCCTCCCAACCGACGGCGAGACCACCCGGCACTGCCGAGCGGGGAGATGGTCACCGACAGCACCAGCCGCTCTGCCTCATCCCGGAGGAGACGCATGGGTGCTGGGAGGTTGTTCGCCGGAGTGTGGTCCCCGAGGAGCCCCCGGGCTGCCAGGTGGCACAGGGACAGATCCGTGGTGTCCTGGGCATGCGTGGACGGCCGGGCAGGGCATCTGCAGCAGCGACAGCCAGTACAGCGGCCGTCTCCCTGCCAGGGCAGCCCTGGGGGAGCGTAGGACTCCCCAGGCTCCTCGTGCTGCTGCGTTGGTCTCCCAAAAATATGTGAAGGGGCTCTTCTGGGTGGAGACTGGCCAACCCCCACCGTGGATGGTGCTTCCACCTTACACTGGACCTGTGGATGCTCCATCTCTGCTCCTTGGGCACCTCTTCCCCTTCCCATGCCCTGAACCTGCTTTTAGCATCCATCTGGCCGGGGTTAGTTGCTGGCAGATCCTGGCCTGTCCCATCGCTCCTGGCGCTGGTGGCTCAGCCGGAGGAAGAAGGAGCTGTGTTGGGAATGGGATGGATGAAGGTGGGACTGTGGGGGGACACGGGGGTGCCCGGGAGAGCGCTGTGCTGGGGGTCAGGGTGGTACAAGGGCTGCCTGGGGCACCGGAGCGCCGCTGGCACGGAGCAGGAGGTCTGGGCAGGGACGGGGACGTTGCACGGGAGCAGAGGAGTGGTGCGGGGAGCTGGGGCTCGGCAGGGATCCCTCTGTGGTGGAGGGGGACAGGGACGAGAAGGGGAAGGGGCTTGGGGCCAGACGGCAGCAGCGGGGCTCATCCTCGGGGAGCAGTGTCCCCCCCGTCACCTCTGTCTCAGCCCCTCTGAAAATCTGGCACCGCATCTTGCCCCAGGACCTTGCCATTGCACTCCGGACCCTTCGATTTGTTTGGTTTTCCTGTAGCAAGTTTCCCCTTTAGCTTTCTGGTGGGAGAAAACAAGAAAAAAAAGCCTGGAAAAGTGGAATCCCACGCGAGGTGGTGCGGAGGGCAGGGCTGCCCCGATGGGGCTGGGGCGGGCGAGGCGGGTGGAGTGAGGAACTAAATACTGTCCTTCCTGCAGCTATTTCCCTATGGGCCTCATCCTGACACCCACCAGGACCCCTGCCCCACGCTTCCCCTCTGCATCCCCATCGCCCCCCCCCGCGCACCCCATCTTAGCAATACTGGTAGGATCCCAGGAGCCCCGAGTCCTGCTCCGCTCCCGAGCCTCCCGCAGCCCTCTTAGCTCATAAAGCTGGCCCTTTATTTTGCTATTACATGCCTTAATATATGTTTTATGGAAATTATACATTTATAATATATATCTATATTTGTTTTTCTCTTCTTTTCTGGGAGGTACTGTTTTGTGCAAAGCTCTCTCTCCGCAGGGTTGTTGGTACCAGCCCTGCCAATGAGTTACAAAAGCAGATTCTTTGCCAATTTATCAGAAAAAAAAAAAAGATTAAAAAAAAAAAAAAGATAAAAAAACCTATTTAAAATATATATATTTTTTCT